TGGGAAGAAACTAATCCTTTTTGTTGGAGTTTGACTATCGTATGCTGGCAGCTCGTTTCCGGTCTGTTTTGTCTATACTCCGTTTCACCGTAATTTGGCAACCCTCAGTCAGATCTGCTGTGAGGGAATCACAGTCGCGGAGCAAAGCACGTGACAGCTACTTTTAGGATCAGTACTATGGCACCTGCAGCGCGTCTCCGACTGGTGTGTTTAGCGTCTTATGCTGGCCATACATCAAAAGTGGTCCCGAAGTGCAACAAATGAGGTCACAGAAGACGGAGTGTCACACTGTTGCATCTCGCGATCCTGGCAATTCATCGTAGCAATGCTGGCGAAAACCACGAGGGAACACGAGTGTCGCTGTCGTCATGGCGTCCCAACGAAAAGCAATTATACAATTTCGACGTTTTCGTAATTCGGTAATTTAAATTACTGGATACAATTTTTAAGAAAATAAAGACATCATAACCAAATAGGAACTTCCGTGCTAAAACATGCAGTGCGAAGTGAAGACAACTACTATCTTTTTTTTTTTCTTGATGTCCACAAAAAAAAAGGCTATGCAGCATCGATCCTACCGGTTTGTTTTTTTTTTGTTTTTTTTCGCACATTATGTGATGTCCTCTAACACGAAAGACCGACGTAAAAGCGCTGTAGAGACGATATAAAAACAAAAATTTAGGTGAATCGAGCTTTGTAGTGGAACGGAAAAAAATAAATAATTAACGACTTTTTACGGTAAACACTACACCTCTAAGTAGAACTTCAAAAAAGTGACGGTTACGCGCTTTCATGCCCATTTAAAACAAAGTTGGGAGAACGATGTATTGCATCTTGTGAATAGACATGTGGAGCAGCATGTTTATGTTAGAGGCATTGTGTGTAATCGCTGCGCAGTACCTGCCAAAAGAAGATATTATTTGGGCACAGTCTCAACCGTTTCCGTCTGTGTGTGCCACGAATACAGCAACTCTTTTCGTAGAAGAAGTGATGAGGAAATGGCGTGCCCTTGATGAAACGATTGTGATTATGAAATAAAATGTTTAATCAGCCAATAATTGCAACCTGTCCGGTCGCGTGGAACCCCGACAACAACTATCGTTCTCTGGAAAGTTCATTCTAATATTTACACGTTTTGTGGAGTTCATCAAGCGAATAAGAATATTCCAACAATGAGCTAAACGTACACGAGTTCCCGAATCCAACACGGCGCTTTTGAATTTTAGCGCCGTAGATAGTTCTGCGAACAGTGTATACTTCTGTGCAAATATTCGTCTAACAGTTTTGCAACGTTGGAAAGCATCGGAATGATTCAGAATCACTGCGGAGTTGATACTCGGGAAGATAAGACGGGCACTTGGGAGAAACGGACCGTGGCATTTGAGACAGGGGCACAACCGGGGGACAAACGTGCTACAATCGCATACCCTTCCAAGGTCATCGCTTGGGCGACCGCGCGCGCGCCCAAGAAACCTTTCTTTTCTTCTTTTTAGGGGTGGTGGGGGGGGGGGGGGGGGGAGGGGAGGGGAGTGGTGTCGGCGCTGATTGTCTTCCTCCTTTGTGGCTTTTGACAGACGCACAACGAGACTTTTAGTTTATGGCAGTTTTTGCGCTGATGAAGTATCAAGGTAGACAAAAATAAAAAAAATAAATAAATTAGCGCCTCGACAAAAAAAAAAAAAGTTGTTGCGATCAGGAACGTTTTCAAAGCGATTTTAGGAGCCTGCAGTGTTACCACAGGTGCAGGATTGAGAGCGTAACCCACGCACTTGAAGAGAAGGGGAAGCTCTCGTCTTATTGGAACTCTCTTTTATGGGTTTCCACGTCGCGATTGTCCTTCAAAATCAACTGTCATTTATTTCTCGCTCGTGGCTTCCAAGTACTGGAAGCCACGACTCGAGCCACAATAGTTTTGCGAAATCAAGGTTTCGCTGAAATGGATAACTCTCACGTACAGTTCGACGCGCAATACCTTTGCCGTATTGACTCGCGAGAGATGCCCCCAACACGGCTGAGTATGGCGGTGCTCCAGACCTAACATCTAAATTTTGTTGCCTTACCTGTAACTATTTCGCGCCCATTTTGAGCCACATCAAAATGAAAGCGCATGATGAAATAAAAATGACACTCGTTTTCCGCTCGATGGAAATTTCACGCCAGCTCGCTGTCTTTGCTGGTACCTTGAGCGTTTCCCAACGATGCGGAAAGTAAAAAAAAAAAAAAAAAAAAAAAAAGAAAAAACACGTACGATGGCATTCTTTGCACACTCATTACTTCTATAACACTGAGCCACCTCGTATCCTTTTGTTTTTCTTTCATGGTACTAATTTCTTTCTGCGCATTACGGCTGTTACGACGCTAAGTCTGTCTGCCCTTCGAATTTGAACTTAGGCTCAGATCAGGGACGAACCAGTTTAAATCAGGAAAATGTAATTAACACTGTAGCAGAGTAAATCTATCATATCGATCGGAAATACGATTTGGCACATTCCATCTGAACACATATTGTGCACAGCGAATGCAATAGCGAGTCAGCGTGCAAAACGCCGCCACACTGAGCTACCATAACATCTCAGCGATTTTTGTACAGCACCGAGCACGGAAAAGAGTAAACAGTTATTCATTCACATAAACGAAGCAAATTTATTTAAAGCCCGGACACTCCGTACGTCCAATCTAGCTAAGGTTATCAATAGACTCGACCATGTCATTTGTCAAAACAGATAAAAGACGTTGGCAAAAATGATTAGACTGAATAAGTGAATCTAACGCACGTATTTTACCAACCGACGGTCGCGCGCCTTCAATACCCTTTCCAATTGTCATTGCGCACCTTGGACACACTTTGGGGAGCAATGCATATTTACATCGCCGCCCGAGGTCTCCATTGAACGTGTAGTGCTGACCCAAATAAAATGCTAACCTGACTCTCAATCGCTCACCGCAAAGGACGATTTCGAACAGGCGGTACAGTAGGTCACTTGAGATAAAAAAAAAAAAAAAAGAAAAGAAAAACAAGCTATAGAAACGAGCGTCGTAAAAAAGGGGACCGGCATTTTTATTCCTACCTCCGAACAGAAACGAGCGCCACCCACTGCATCACACAGCGCAGAGGCCGGACTCGGCCACCGCGCGTACATACCAAGCGCGCGCGAGGGAGGGAGAAACTTCCTCCGCCGGGAGAACACGGCACATTTCGGGATCTATTTGACGCAGCGGATAACGCGGGCCTTTTCACACCTCGATACTGGCGCCATCTAGAAGTTGCGCGTTCAACCACGTTTCGAGCCGCGCGCCATCTGGTGGCTGAAACGGACGAATAAATAGAGGTACCGCGCCCTCTTAAGACGGAGGGCAGTAGCAGCACGAGAATATGCACAGTGCGCAAGACCCCGAGTGCCACGCGCGGGCAGAGCGTAAGCGCCTTTCACAGATCTTCTAAAGCACATCGCTGACAACCATCCTACCGCTAACAAAGCTCCTGAATCAAATATAATGATGCACACCTCTTAAGGACATAGAAACCGACGCAATCAATCACAATGCACTGTGTTGTGTCGTTCGCAGCTTTTTTTTTTTTTTTCCCTTTACTTGAGGGCTTTTATTTTCGCGCGCTCCCAGAACGAACAGCGAGTGTAACTACACTTGTGGAGGAGCATAAGCCTCTTGGTGCTTGGCGAATTTAGCTAACCGCCTATCGTAAGGTTGTATCAGCAAAGACATTCTACATTATTTCAATTTAAAGTTTCGTTTTCGTTTCAAACATAATTTTACAACACATAAAGTTAAGCTTGATATTTACGCGAAGACTATACTCCTAAAGTTTACGAAAAATAGAAAGTTTCTGGGTCGGCATGATTCGTCTAAATGAAAACCACAGTTTCTGATCAAGGACAAAAAAAAAATAGAGGTCAGGTAAATTTTGGGCCCGCTTTTTTCTTGGTCGGGCTGAGACTGAGCGGATTCAGAACAACACAATTTTTGAGCGTGTCAAGGTTTAGGTCGACGTTAAAAAATAAAATAAAAGTATATGGTGTCTCTAATGAAAATACGGTGTAAAACGAGCCGTTAAAATCGATGCCTGTACATAGAAGGCTGAAGCTTTCACCGAATGGGCCTTGAGGTGTTGCATTTTAGGCGATGATAGTCTAAGGCATAGCTCTCTTTCTGTGAAAAATGATACCAGCAAACTTCTCAGGGTCAACGACGGACGGGTAATCAGACGACCAAGTTAGAAATTCTTGTAACATGTGGGGCTATCTCCCGATAGACTTAGCGAGCAGATAACGCAATATATTTTCTGATCGCTCAATCTGTCGAGAGATGGCGCCATGCGCCACTTGCATCGCTAACTCGGTCATCTGCGAATCCGTCAACCGTCGAACCCCGCAAGATTGTTGGTATCGTTTCTCACAAAAAAATAGCTTTGCCTACCTCTTTCAACAGCTAGAACGCACAACCTCAACGCACATTCGTTGAACATTTCAAATTTATATGCTAAGGTGGCATTGTTTCCGGCAGGTTTTAGCGCTAAATATACACTGGAGTCAGCCTATATATCAGTCATATTAATAAGAACGAGATATGTATAGTGTGCACCGTGTTTCGACCTGTGCTGGTTGTTTATTTATGAGCTTATTTGGGCTCGGGAGACCGCTTTTTCGTAACGCTACGTGTAGCTCATGAATAAAAACAAAAACCCTATAATGGACCTTGTGTTGACACAAACCAGCTTGGACCGGGTTCGGGTCAGGACTTCGTTTAGCAGGGTTTAATAGGGCCTTGAAAGTCCGGCAAGGGCAGGCCACTGCCTTGTAAAGTTGACACAAAGAAACCATTTTGCTGTCATTTAGTTGATACATGTCTGAAGATTCCTTGTTTTCCCATCAGCCGCCATTCATTGAGTGTTAGCCATTCATTAAAATAGGTGCTTGAGTGCTATAAACTAATAATGTCAGTGAGTATAGCGATACAGTTTCATCTGTGTGTTTTCGGCGCAGAACCTGAAAGACCTGTGGCTGCACGCGGACGCGGTCCCAGGCCCCGGCGGCAAGCCACCTGTCGACGCCTCCACCTTCCTGCGGTACACAACGCCCTTCCACCCGTTCGCCGTTGTATCTCTTGGGTGGACCACCAAGAACAAGGGTGCATACTCCTGGCGGAACGTCGAAACGATGGCCCGCCTCACCCGCTGTGGACAACCGTACCTGAGAAGAGTCGCCTTCTCCGTACGCGCCTCAATGGTCGAGAACTCGTTGCCCCAGCTCGCCTGGCTCGTGGACGTCGTACCAAATTCCACCCTCTCCGTCTGGTACCCGTCATCAGAAGCTCCGCCTACAGAAGCATTGTTGAAACTTCGCCAGACAATTCCGGAGTCGTCCGTTGTCTACGACTTGCCGCGGGACTACCCTTTCGAGAACCTGGTAGACGCTCCCATCATGGAAGAAGACCAGGACTGGAGAATAGACTGGAAGCTGACTGGAGACTCTCCTTGTCAGAAAACCTCGTTGGTCGGAAAGCGCGCAGTGGTCTTGGGAGATCAGGCGGTCTCGGCGACTCTGCCAGACCCATGGGCGAACTTCGAGGCCAAGCTGGACCTCAGTAAACCAAGATCTGTCGCGGTGAGCCTCGGCAAGTCTAAGCTGACACTGGAAGGCCCCTGCTTTTACATGGTTCTCAACAGGAATGGGCAAAAGGTTACAAGTCATGTTTGGGGCATACCCTGCAAGGATAACACCCTGGATCCGGCCAGAAAAGAAAGCCCGGCGGAAATGACCCGGGAATGGGACTTCGAGAACGCTACGGTACCGCTTGTGTTTGAGTCGTCGCCTGGAGGTGTTGTCTATGCAGCGTACTTCCATTCAGCCGCACCGACTTTGTCCTGCTCGCTAGCACTGCTTTTGATGGCGTTTGCAGTGTTGGCCGTCTGAGGGGGTACAACTGACTGTTTAGGACAGCTTGTGTTCTAACGTGTTGTGCAAGTTAGCGTGCAAAGTTGCCGTCGCCGTCTTCCAGTAAGTGTGTAGAAAGGGACGAATTCGAGCGAAGTATGAACCTCGTGGCTATTGTGAAGCAGCCCCACTAGCAAAACTTACAACATAATATACGAATGCAAGAGGAAATACTAGATGAAAATATTGCTTCCAGTGGCTAGTAAAATAAAACACAACAGAAATCCTTGAGTGCTCATTTTGAACGCTTTAAGTCGTGAGAAACAATGAAGATGACAGGCTTAGCGAAATGATAACGTTGATGCGTTGCATTAAATTAAATCCGATTAGTATCTCTAGTAAGTTGACAGGATATGATGATCGCATAGGCAAGTATTATGAATGAAGCTGTACATTAGAATATATACTCAAACGAGTTAATGAACTATGAGGGGAACATGAAGTGGCAGCTATTCAAATACGTACTGGCGAAATCTTATGGTGTCAACACTGCGGAACTCTGGCAACACCGTAATATAAATCAACGATTGTGTTTTATGCAATAGTTTTATTTAACAGTTTCATGTGAGTCGTGATTTTTCTAGAAAATTTTCCTCCTCCCTTGTGAAACGCAGTCCGTTAGCAATTATGTCAAGAACGCAAAACTGCACGGAGTTTGAACGCAGCCGTTATGTAAACACTGACAAAAGATCCGAGATTCAGGCCAAAATTCTTATATAAAGTTAAACGAGAAATACTTTGACGAGTAAATTTATTTTTATTGGCAGGCCGGACGTAGACAGCTTACCACTGACCACAAGAAGAAAAGGAACAATTTGTTTCTGGTGTATTTCAAACCTGCTGCTCGAAAATAACATATATAAATATGAAAAATAAAACAAAAAAATACAATGACCTCCCCCCTTAAAATCAAAAAGGAGGGCCAAGATTGGTGCTTGTGCTGGTGGGGTATATTTTTGCTAATGCTCACAGTAATCATTTCAATCATTGGTTTGCAGGTGAACTGCCACGTGTCCTCCAACGAATTTAATCGTACATATCATCATAATATCGCCTCCATACGCTATCCCATAAGTTTTGCAGTATGAACGTTAGTGCATTCAGGTTTCTCTGCCCTTTTCTCCTCGTCGTACTTGAACAAAATGTTAAAACTTGCCATACCAAGTGTATACCCAAATCAAACATGCGTAGTTAATATACTGAGTTGCAGTTTGGTGTACCTTCATTCCAAAGCGGCGTATAGAAATGTACGCAGCGCATACCAAAGTAAAAATATTTTTCAAATATACTGCACAGAGAAACAAGAACTGTTTAGTGTGCCCGTTTTGTAGAGGTCTCTGAACAATTGACTGGTTTTTATCTGCTCGTATCAAATATGCAGCGTGGGACACATAAAAATATCAACAATAATATTTTGCTATGTCGAGAAGAGTGCTCATTAGCACCATCTGTCTAGACATATAGAGTTAATGTGTCTGTTAAAAGTGCGTTTTATTAAGAGATAAAAATGTTTATGAAATATGTTAATAAAGTTTGATGATATTCTATTGCCACTTTGTTAGTAAATAAAATGCTATTATTATGGATTCAATGAAGTTGAAAGAAAGTGAGAAAGGCCGATCTTTTCACGGGGTCTTTGAGAAAAAGATATTTCTAAAAAGGCATGTCATTGAAATCAACCTATTATATGGGCTATTTTATTTCAGATCTCACAAAAATGTGGTGATGGAAAAAACGTTTAAAATATATGCTAGGCTAGCTCTCGACTAAAACAACACTGAAAATTGTTCTTGCTTCAAATATATAGTTATCGAGATTTTTGGGATTTCGGCCATCGTTATGATTGCCCAAATCTGAAACTAGCGCGTTGGGGTGTTTTGTTAGGCACACATACAGTTCGAGCCACATGAAAACTTCGTACATAGTTTTTTTAACTGGAATAGAAAAGCGAAAATACCGTAAAAATATATTTTTGTTTTTCATTATTTATTAAATAAATCTTGGACCTCGCACTTCTGAGAGTAATTTGGCAGGTTTGGATGGTGATTAAATATTTTACGCTAAACGTTACGGCAGACCTTATATAGTAAACCAGAACTTAACTATGTATCTATTCAATAAGTACAACATTGATATTGGCAGTTAAGGTTATCGTATCAAAACAACTTTGAATGCAAAAGGAAACTCTAAAGATAAAAGGAATAACACAAATGTTCTCATTAAGGAAATCTTTAACATTTTTCTTTTCGTGCGAAGAGCCCTTCGTAAGGTCTGAAGTGTTAAATTGAAGTCAGTTGTCAAGCCGTGCATTTGAAAGTAGGGTATATCTAAAACTTTATTTTGAGATATATTTTAATTGTACCCGTCCCTATTTCGAGCTTTCGTCCATAAGTGGAATGACCGAATGATATTAACAAGACCTACAGTATTGTGATCTTTTTATGGGCGTCACTGTAGTGGGACAGACCTGCTGTGACGGCGTGAAGAGACTGTTCAAGTATCAAACCTCCTTGCACAACTTCATGTCGACCGAACTTGAAAGGACGCGATAATGACTGTTCATCTAGTCACCCAACTGCTCTTGAACCGCCTTGCGAAGGAGGCCCTATATTACTCGACGTACGGCATCTGGCAGGCTGATGACCTTGAAGTAACCTAACAACTGCTGTTTCGAAAAAAAAAAGAAAATGTGAAAAGAATCTGTCGGTAACAAAAAAATATTAGCAGTAGCCTAACAGGTGCTGTTTCTGAAAACAAAATGTGAGAAGAATCTATCGGTAACCTAAATAATATTAGCATTCTTTTTTCACATAATCTATTGTAAATTGACATGTACTTTCCTGTGTAATTGCAATTTCAGCGTATTGTTATTTGAATACTAGAGTATCTATTTGGGCATTTGCTACATGTTTGCTGTTTTATTTTAAATTCAAAACAGTTGTGGGAAAAACTTAAGTGTAAGCGTACAATAAATACAGCATTTTTACTTATACTAAGTCACCCGGAACAATATTTTACATACAGATTGTGCATGTAAAAAAACTATGAAAAAAGGGTTTGGCAAGCGAGATGGAGTGAGCTCATTGTGTTTTTAGATGACTTAGAATAACGAGCGCAAATAAATTGTCAGCTCGATTGCAAACTGACAACATTGCTCTCTCAATTTGCGTGGCGAGGTTACGACGCCTAATAAAAAATATATTTTCTTGATCACCATTAATATAATAATGGCGCTCGCGAAGAAAATTGTTTCAGTGTGTTAGGGCTACCAGTAGCAGAATGTTTAATTTCTATCATCACGCGCCTTTTTTCGTTGAATGACAGGCATATGCTCTCTTTACTTTAAAGGTAAGTACCTGTTGAGACAGATCGATTTCGGTATTTTCTATCGGATCACAAGGTTAATTTTATGTTTTATAATGAGTCCGTTTTCACTACGCACGTAGTGACGGGTAAAGTTAATGTTAAATGCACTGAAGACATACTATATGCACGGTTTTTAATGCAAACAGTTTGCAGTTCTGTTTCCGTCTAGCTGTTTCACAACCATCTGCAGCAAACAGTGGTGCCGTATCATGCAAACTTTTATGAACGGTTGTTCACAATTTAAACTAGACGTAGGTTGTCAACGCCTGGTGTAGGCAACGGGTCGTTCGGTTTTTTGTTGTGCATGTGGTGCCCGTGTTTCTTGCTCTAGGCTCGCGCTAGCTGACTTCTTGAGTTCCATGGTGCCACTACTGCAGATGCCCCCCCCCCCCCCCCCCCCTCTGCCCCTTGTAGAAGTGGCCTGGGGCACCTGTGCTGGAGGCATAGAGTAGGCGACAACGTATTCCTCGTACATTGGTGAAGCAATGCCAAGAGGTGATAGAAATGCAGGTTTCAGGCGATCCAGTAAAACAGTAAACTTTTGAATCACTGTGTAGAAAATTGGCCTCTACCGCCCGGCAAACCTTGTGGACAATAGTGTAGGGCCCTTCGAAGAGGGGCTTCTTGGCAGCATCCCAGCGAATGAGCATGTGCATAGACTGGGCGAGAGCAGGATGTATAAAAACTCGTCGTGGGAAGAGCTGTCGTATTTGCGTCGGGCGCAAAGATGGCATAGTGAATGAAGCACGAACATCACACACACAAGACAATAACAGAGCTACCCGTCGGCCACACTAGACGATGCCCCCCTCCGTCTGCATTAAATTCTAAATAGATGTACATAAAATCTTGTATGATACCGTACCACTGGTTGCTACATAATTGGTGACCCGGACGTGATCTACACTGTTGGCAAGTCCCGTGTATTATGTGAATATTTCTAGGTGAAATACAGTGTCCCCCCCAAAAAAATTAGTGTTTTTCACAGCAAAAATAAACTACGCATCGCCAAACGCTCATTCTCCGCCCAAAGGTAGCACTAAAGGTCACAACCAGATGCCAAAGTTTCCGCCAGATCCGATACCTTATTCAAAAGTTATAAGTGATTTTCTGAAAATGTCAATGGGAAAATGGAGCCCATTTTTGCCCGTTTTCGGTTTCTGATCCCCCCCCCCCCCCCCCCCCCCCCTTCCCCCCATAGAGCCCCACGTATTCAAAAACTCCGTGGGCCGCCACTATCCCATTGAACTTTTCAGAAAATCACTTGTAACTTTTGAGTAAGGTATCGGATTGGGCTCAAGCTTTGGCATCTGGTTGTGACCTCTAGCGCTACCTATGGGCGGAGAATGAGCGTTCGGCGAAGCCTAGTTTATTTTTGCGGGAAAAAAGAACTATAATTTTTTTTTTGTGTGTGACACCCTGTATACGTTATTTACACAAATTAACATAAATGTACACCTGGTATAATGAATGGTTTGTTAAAAAAATCATGTGTGATTGTAAAAGATGTGTTTTTGTTAGTCTTACACCCCTAACCATGCGGCCGACTTCGGGAACAGACATCGCCACCGACACGGCGACCGCCATGTTGATTTTGATTCAGTCAAGGAGAGCGATAAGACTACAGTGGCTTAAAGGGGGTAGTGTAACGAACGAAACCGGAGAAGCGGCACAGCGTTGGAAGACGGCCGCGGGTGGCGCTGGTGCTTGCAGCACCGTCGTTCCGGCTATGGCTCCGGCTTGGCCGCTTGGTCAGCTTGGTTCCGGCCAGCTCCGGCCGATTCGCAGCTGTCGACTATACTGTCGTCTGCTAGTTTCACAGTTTTATTCTCCTTCAAACACAAATCATGTCGTTGGAAGTTTTCTGGAAACAAATAATTGTTTTTGAGGTATTTATATTAGTTA